TGGCAACTCGAATGCTGACCTCAGAGTGTGGCAGGGCTGCCAACAGCTCGGCCTAAGCACAGGATGTACTTCTTTGGGCGCTGGATGATACCTCAGCAGCAAGCACTGAAGCCCAGCCTACTGGCTGAGGAGCTCCTGCCCACACCCCAGACCGACCACCGGTGCTGGCGGGAGAGGCTAGGAATTCAGACAGGAGAGCCTGCAACACTAATGATCCCAGGAGACAAGGTCCAAGCCCTTCCAGGAGATAAAATATCAGAATCTGTCCCCTGATGAGAGTTTTAGGAGATAAAAGTACATAAAAATGTGATCATGCAGAGAGAAACTAACCTGTTCTTCTCATTATAACACATACTTGGCACTAATTTAATTTTTTGAAGAAACTCAACCAATTTCTTCCTGACCTGTATCTAACATGTGGCCATTTCCCCGTTAGTTCTTACTCTGAGAAGCCTCAATAGTGTTTCATAAGAAGGCATGGAATTCTTGAGAAGTAGAAAGATATTTACCAGCTAGGAAAGCAAAGATTCCGAAAAGTCCAATAACCAGCAACTCGGGGGCAAAACTGCAGTAGAACGCAGGAGTCATATCTCTTCTCCCTGCAGTGTGTTTGTCCTGGAAGGTTGCTTATCCTGCCCCTGGGTCAATGAGGCTGCCCATGGTGACAGCTGAACTTCGTGTCTCAAAGGGTATGCAAAAAACAGGCTTTCTGCTCACAGGGTTAGCTCTAACCCTGCGACACCTCCCATAGGAAAGAATCAGGTGCCTGAGAGGGGCTTGCTTCTCTGTGTTTTCCCTCTCACTGGGCAGGGGTAAGCAGGGGAGAGGGGAGGAAAGTCCTAACCAAAGAACTAGTGATTTTGTGATTCCTACCACATCCGCTTGTCCTCTCTCAAATAACAGGAATTTTAAAACAAAAACCACACGGAGGAAAAACAGGAGAGAAAATGGCAAAGATCCATGCCTCCCTCCGACCTCTAGTTCCCACATTTCTCCTTATTCTCTGGAAAAATATTAAAATTATCCCCATAATATCTGCTGGCTCAGGGCAGAGCCCAGCCCCAGTCTGCCTCTTCACTCCCTCGGGGAACGTCTGCTGAGCACCTCCTAGTGCCTCCCAGGGCTCCGTGTCAGGACTGTGCGTGACACAGAGATGGCTAAGGTACCCTCACAGCCCTCAAGGAGCTTGAGCGTAGTGAAGGGGATGAGTCGTGGGCAAAAGCAAGTGCTCTTGGAGGAAGAACAGCACCTGAGCCCTCAGAGAGGCCCAGATGGTGCTGGGGGTGCTGGCGACCCAGAGACAGCTACCACCCCCAGCTCCTGCCTGGCACAGAGCCGCAGGTCACGCCAACCACCCAGACCAATATGGGACCCGGGAAGAGCTTCCCCTTGAGAAAGGCCCCAGTCAATGGTTACATGTATCACCTCATTTCATCCTCAGAAGAGCTCTATAAGATAGATACTACACTATCATTACCCGCCTTCACAGATGAGAAAACTGAGACTTAGGTTCTTTTATTCATTCCTTCAACAAATATTTTTTGGTATCTACCATGGACCTGACACCACTCTAGAAGCAACCATAAGATAGTCAAAATTCCTGACTATACATGGTGTATACATTCTGGTAGGCGATGAATAACTGGCCCAAGATCACTCAGCTTGTTAAAGTAGTGGAGCCAGCATTGAATTCAGTTATTCTGGCTGTAGAACCTATACTTTCAAACTTCCAACAAGCAAGCTGCCTGGGCCCAGCCACAGAAACTTGAAGTCATCATTAACAGTGAGATACCACATTTCCTCTATTTTAAGATGCATAGTTTTAAGATGCATCTGAAACCTGGCTGCATTTTATAATATACATTGAAAGAAACCTGTGGGCTGCTGGTAGAGAAGTAAGTCATAATATAACTGATACTGTGGTTCAAGTGTAAATTTCGCTGAACACAGGTCATTTGACTGCCGACGCAATTGAATTTTCTGCAAATGTTAACATTAAATCAGTTGGATTTTAACTTAAATGAAGATCCCTGATACTACTTCAAATACACTCAAAAATTTTCACTATATTGCAAGAAAAAGCTATTATGCATGCAAGCGATTATGCCTATCACACGCAATGTAATTAAAGGGAGTAGAAATCACCAAACCTCTTGGAACAGATCACAGAATTTTCAAAGCCTTAAGGGCTAGCGTTCAAATGACAAACACCTAATTGTCAAAAGCTTCCAGCTATTTAACTTCCAGCAATATGTGAGCAATTAAGGGGAAAAAAAACATATGGGTTTTGCCAAAGAGAAAATGCAGGCCAAACCCTACTATTCATTAATAAGACTCAAAATTACATAGCTAACCTTAAACATACCAAAGGGTTCAAGATCATGAGTAATATACTTTCTGAAAAGCATCACATAACTCTGAAGTTACACATAACTTCTGAGAACCAAATATGATACACAACATCAATAATGTGAAAAATACCTACACTCCAAACTGATTCTACAGAAAGAGGAACCCATATGTAAGCATATGAATAAATGAAAGTCACTATAGACAAGTTTTAAGAGTGTACATCTATTGTCATGTTTTTTTGTTTCTGGAAAGATGCAATTAACACCATGTTTTGTTTCACCATTACCAATGGCAAATCAATACAATTACCATTATCACTGGTACCTCCAAAGAGAGAACTGTGATCATTACAATGATAGCTGCCATTTATTGAGCACCTATCAAACACCGTATTCCATTTTTTTTCACCCATTATCTCTAATCCTCGTGACAACTCTATAAGGGAGGCACTCTTAGTATTTCAGTTTTACATGTAAGTAAATTATGGTTCAAAGAAACCAGTGACTTCTCAAGGTCATACGGTCAGTAAGCTGAGTGTGGAACCAGTCCTGCCCAAGTCCAAAACCCAAGTGGTTTCCAGGGCACTATACTGCTCCTCCCTACTAACAACCCACCTCCACCCCTGTCCTGGCATAGCACGCATAGATAAGCCCTCACCTAAAACTTACTATGATCTCAGAGGATGGGCCAGGATGAATTTAAGATCGAAGGGTCTCCCTCTCAATCCAACACCCTAAGTTGATTCAAATCCTGCTACTTATGTGCCTGCTTCCATTTTCTCAAGCTACACTTGAGGACATGATCAAGCAGACCCTAAACTGGCCAACAGCCCAACATTCACAGAGCCAAATGACTGGTTCATTCCATCAAATTGTGCCAATTTGGTAGCACAGTCCAGAGAAGAAAGTACACAAGCTTAGCAAGAAGCGAGGAAAGCCTCTCCATTTCTGAGGCTGGGGCAGGAAGGGGCCTGTGGCCTGGCCAGAAGCATTCTTTCCCCTGGAGGTGCTGTTTCACATCAGCTAATGGAAGCAGAGACCTCCCTAAGCCTACGGAAGAGTCCAGCTTGTGCCAGTCACCTTCTGGGGATCCCCCTGAAGTCTCAGGACAGCCCATAGTTCCAACTGACAACTGCTTTTCTTCTTGATCAGACTTTTGCAGGACAACAGGCAGGGGCTTGTGAATTTCACACCCATTCTCTGGACATGTACCTTTGGATGCAGTCTCATCTCCAACATAAAATCCTTCTCAAGGGCTTTTCCTTGAATATTCCCTCAGGAAAGGGCCTCAAGCTTGGATGCTGAGATTGGACTAGGACAATTCAAGAAACATTTACTGAGTATCTCTGAGGCTGCAGAGGTGAGTAAGGTGTGGTCCCCACCATCAGGGAACTCACAAGTGAGTGGAGGAGGTAAGACCAGCTCAGAACTAACTACAATATAAAGCAGAACAAGGTTAAGTGTTATCCCAGAGGAAAAAGGGATTAATTCCAGATGCACAGTCAATAATCAATTCAGCTAACACTGACTAGGCACCCACTAGGCAGCAGGTACTATACTAGGCATTTTATATACCTTATCCCATTCAATCCCCACAACCAACCTGTGGAACATGTTCTATTACTACCCACACTTTACAAAATGAGGAAGTAGATGGAGAAGCAAAATATCTTGCCCAAGGTCACATAGCTGATTTGTAAATACTAGAGGTGAGATTTGGACCCCAGTGGCCAACATGGAAGCGTATGTTATTTCCAGTACAGTAGACTGAATCTCCTGGAGTAAAGAAATTCTTCCTGGTAGAAGAAAAATCTGAACTGTTTGGGAATTCAACCAGGTGAAGAGGGAAGTAGAGAATATTCCTAGCATAGGGTCAGAGATGAGGAAGGCTGGGAAGTAGGATAGATCAGCAGTCACAGATCAGCTACAGCAGGGGCAGAAGTCAAGCTTCTAGCACAGAGGAAGAGGTGTGTGGTCAGTGAGTCAGGGGACTGGGGTCAGGAGACCTGGGTTCTAGTCCTGGCTTGGCCACCGAAAAACTGTGTGTGACCTTCAGCAGTTTCTATCCCCTCTCTGGGGCTCGGTTTCCTCATCAGTAAAAATTCCAATTCCCTATCGGAGTAGATGTTCCCCAAAGGTATGCTCTGGCTTAAATGCTCAGTGATACTCACAAGAGGCTGTGTGGGACTGTGGTTAAGACCAGGTGACATGCAAACCAGCTGAGTGACCTTGAACAAGCTAATTAAATCCTCTGAGTCTGTTTCCTCATCTGTAATGTGAGGACAACAGCGATGCCTGCTTCACAGGGCTGAGGTGAAGGCTGAGTGAACTGAAGAACATCAAGCACTTAGCACAGGGCTTGGCAAACTATAAACGCTTAAGAAAGGGAGGCAAAAAAAAAAAAAAAAGGGAGGCAGCTTTGTCGCTATCAACATCATCATCACCATCACTCCTTCTTTAAAGGGTCCATAAAGTGAATGTAGCAGTCGTGGGCCAGAAAGCCTTTTTTTAAAAAAAAAAAAAAAAAGGACAAAAAAATAAGATCTTTTTTTTTATTTGAAAAAGAGAAAAGGTCTCATTGAACCACAAGTCCTTCCCATGACCACCTCACGAGAGGGGCTCCTGTTTCAAAGAAGGGCCATGTCATACCTTCTCTTCTGAAGAAACGGTCAGCTTGTCACTGGATATCAAGCTGCACACCTGGTCCAGACTTAGGCTAAGAAATTCTTCCCCCAGCATCACCTCTGGAAAGTGCTGCTCTGTTCCAAAAAAAGCAGAAGTTCAGAAAACAAAGTTATAACACACTCCTGCCCTTCCATGAACCAAGGCCATGACAATCTGTGGGATTCAGAGCAGAGTCCTGGGAGCTCTGGGGGAGGCAGGAGGCAGAGAGAAAGGCAGACATCCTGGCTGGAGGGAAACCAGCCTCTTAATTCAGCAGCAAAGGCATCCCCCTGTGTGACCCTCTGTCCTGAACATCATCACAGAGGAAAATGGGGCAGAGAGATGCGCGGTTATATTTTTTCCATGCTCCATGAGATTAATAATGGTGTTGCAGAGAAGCCTCACAGGGGCCTGCCTACTTAATTGAGCTCATTTCCCCTCAAGGCACAGGCTGGCAGAGTTGCAGACGGTGCCCCCTGCAGCTCAGCCAAACAAAAGTGGGTCAGAACTGCTGTGTGGCTCAAAGTCTCCGGGGGTTCTGGTAGGAAGTCAACATTAGAAGGCTGGCAGAAGGGTTCATCCCATCTTGCCCAAGTCAAGCCTGCTATAGTGAGAATCTGGTTCACAAGAAGGCTCAACTAAGCTTTTGTCCAGGTGTGGCACCAACACAGCTGGCACCACCACCACTGGGAACAGTCCACAGCAGCTGAGCCTATAGAGGCTATAAGATGGAGGGGAGTTCGGGGACAACTCGAACAAGATAAAACCCACAGGCCCGAGGACCACACAAGGGAAATGCCAAGGACAATTCCTACCCTGACATTCGCCCAGGCCGCCATCCTGCTATTACAGAGGCATTTGCCAGTGAAAGAGCGTGCACTTCAGAAAGAAGGACCTAGATTCAAGTCCCGGCTTTGTCATTTATGAGTTGTGTCTTTGAGCCAATGGCATCACTTCCCTGGGTCTCATTATCCCCATCTGTACAATGGAGGTAAAAACCACGTCTCACTCCCTCCCATGCTCTGATGAGAGAGGAATTGAGAACGTGTTTTGCAAGCTCCTTCAAAGTGAACCAGCCCAAGGGCTGACAATTCCTGGTGTAGCAGACTCTGGAGGTCACAGCGTCCTTTGTCATTTGCCCCACACCTTGCTCCCTCCTCGGTTCTCACAACCCTGCACCATCGCCCCAGGAGCATCTGTGCTCCTTGCCCTCCAGGCCTCTCCCCTTCCTTCTGTGGTGGCCCCGCTCTGCCCTGAGAGCTTCTTGGATAATTCCAGAAGCTCCCCACCCCCCACTTGGCCTGGCTGGCTCCTGGAGTGAGATTCTGAGTCCCTCCATGCCTGGGAGGCTGCTGAAACATCAACTCTACTGCAGCTGCACAATGAAAAGGAAAATCAGAGCATGCTAATCACACTCATCAACTTCTTAAAAACCAAACAAATGAAGAACTTAAGGTTTAAATACTTTTCTTGCAAAAATCATTTTTAACTTTTTATGTTGTAAGAATTTCAGATCCAAAGAATTCCCATATGCCTTTCATCCAGATTCCCTAAATGTTAATACTTTACTCTCAATGACTGAGTTATAAATAATCTTTTCCATCTTTCACTGGACAAAGAGGGCTCCCCACTTTCTCCCCACCAGCCTAAGGATATAACTGAAGCCACTATTAAAGCTCACCCGTCCTGAGGCTCAGGGATGCTTGTACAAGACAAGACAAATTTAAAAGTCAGATCTTTTACAAACGGAAGCAGCTGTCAAAACGTAAGAAGCTAGCCTTACTTCTCTATATGTCAACAGAAAAAAGCCTTTAGTTAAAGGATAGATTTTAAGTATGACATTCAAAACACCTCCCTAACTATGGGAATATTTAAGACTAGATAGTTATTTTTAAAGTGTCCATTCCTAAAGATTTTTAAATAAAAGCAAGTAAACAATTTTTTTTGGACAATGGGAATTCATTCTTGGCCTGGAGGCTTGGAAAGTAACAGGATTCTCCCTATACACTCTTTCTAGCCCAAGAAGACTTTGGACCAGAGTCTCCCAATGTGTTGGCAACACCCAAGAAACAGCAGAGAGAAAACTGACAAAGTATAGGACAGGGAGGCTCTGTGGACCAGCCTCGGCTGAGCTCAGCAGGTGAGTCAGGAAAACCAGTGCCTACATCCCTGTGGCCCAGAGCCATACCTGGTCTTCCCACCTTTATCTTTGGTTGACTGAAAAACCTAACATTTGGAGGAGTGAAAAGAACAGGAGGAGGTGAGAAAGTAAAATTCTGAGCTGTAAGGAATTCTTCCTCAGAGCTCAGAAAGCCAAAAGTAGATGAGCTTGGGTTTTGAAAAGGAGGAAAATAGAAGTGCAGTGATGTGTACCCTAGGTGACTTGGTGAACAAACCAGAAGTCCTCAAAGATAAACCAAGGCAGGAAGTAGTCAGCCCCCCACACCTCCCCATCTCTCACACTCTGGGGCATTGCAGGATGTGAATCTGGGTCCCTTCTCTCTGAAGTCAGCTGCTTATTTGCCCATCATGAACCTCCCACTGAAAACCTTCAGAAATCCTCCCAGGAAGGAGCATCTGGTGGGGAGGAGGCAACAAGGGAGGTATTGGGCAGGAGCTTCTCACCCAGGGCTGGCACCCCGAGATCCAGGAGATTTGCGAGGCATGAACAGGGGGACACAAAGAAGGGGCCCAGACAAAAACTCCTTCCCTTCCCCCTTTGGTCTGAGGACACAGGGCCCAGAGTCTGGGGACCAGAGGCCCCTTTCTGTTAGCAACACTCAAGACACAACAGGGCAGAAAAAACAGGAACAGGATACTCTGGCTAACTCAGTTTCCTGGGAGACAGGAGCTCCCCAGAAGACTCTGTACTCAAGTCAGCGCTCTTCCCAGCCTCTTCCTGGAAAGAACCCACTATGCTACCAGAAGATACCACCCTGAGAATCAGCTTCTACCTTTAACACTTGTTTGTTTGTTTGGAGATTTTTTTTAATTTGTTTTGCTTTGCTGTGAATGTATTAAGGGAGAATGTAGTGACAAACTGTGGCTAACAATCAGAAGACCTGGGTTCAAGTCCCAGCTCCACCTCTTACAGTCACTTCTTTCCAGGCTTTGGCTTCATGAATCATAAAATGGGATGGTAATGCCTGACCTCAGTCTCCAGGTTGTTTTGAAGTTCAAAAATGATACTATGTATTAGCCCATTTTGAGATCTATAAGAAACTCTTTAGAAATGAAGGAGGAATATTATGCGCCCATGTTCCTGAGTCACGAAGTCCAGTTCTGTGGGCAGGACTGCTCTCCAACAGAGAAGCGTTTCCGCAGCATCAGAGTCATCCTTTGAGACTGCAGGTCCTGCAGGCAAGGCTGTGGACCTCAAAGGTCTTAAGAGACCTACTTTATTCCACTGAGTTCCACAAACTTTCTAGTGATATAAGTTACTCAATTTCTTCAGATGAGAATACTGAAGCCTTCAGTATTCTCATCTATTAAATAGAGAGAATAATAGCACCTATCTCATAGAGGTGTTATGGGCATTAGATAAGCAAATATATGTAACTCACATTTCCTGAGACCATTGTAAGTGCTCAATAACTGTTCATACATGATGTGCCAAATACAGTGTTTCTTCAAAAAATGAAGAAAGCAGAGCCGATGCCTACAAGGAGGCCACTGGCTTACAAAAGGGTAAAACAAGGCACCAGCAACTTCAACCCAAAGTCCACAGGGCCATGACTGGGAGAGGCACTCCAAGTTAAATAAAAGCAGGCAAATTCAGAGCATGACTAGAGAACAGCAATAGCTCAGTCTAGCTAGAGGGTAGGCTGTGTCTTCATTCATCTAACTAATATGTATAGAGCATCCTGTGCCAGGCTCCCAGAGATGCAGGAGAGACAGGCAAGGCTCAATCTTGGGGGACGGGTGAAATATGCAGGGGCGTAGTATCTTTCAACCATGGGCTAGCCCCTTGAAGGGGGACTCTCCAAAATAAACTCTAACTTTTCTTGTCTTTTTGCTTTTTTTTCCTTTAGGGAGGAGTGTAAACAGGAAAAAAAAACAGTCAATTAATTAACCATTCTGACTGAGAGTCCCAATTAACCAGGCTTCACTATAAGTAGCAAACACTGTTTAGGATCCAAGTTTTGGAATGGAAATAGTGAGTTGTTTAAGTTATTAGGTATTTAATTTTTCTCTTCATTTGACTAAGTTTTTGCTTATGGAATATAAAGGGAAAACATGATTTAAGAGATTATAATAATAACAAAAAATCATAACATTAAGAGAAAATGCAGAATACAAATTTATAGATACTGTTTGGTCACAAATATGTAAGTCTAGAATTTCAGGATTAAAAGATAGCTCTTTATTTCCCCTCTGTACTCAAATAAAAAGTATCATTATAAATATTTTAAAAATCCAAGTTTTGGAAACACTGCTTTGGGAAAGATCTCCAGGGTTCTCCCTACTTGCTGCAAATAATAATAAAGCCTTCCTTCTCCAAAAAAAAAAAAAAAAAAAAAAAATCCAAGTTTTGATTAATGAAACATTAATGGATCTGTACCTGTCCATTTGGATGAGAAATTTTGGAGAAGGGGAGGGGCACCAGACAACTGCAAATCCTTTCCCTGGCAAGCAACACACGCATATCTTCCCAATGTTGAAAGGATGAGGAAATTGGGTGGCACATTCCTAGGAAAGGGGGCATATTTGGGTCTTTTCAAGGAAGCAGGCCTGGAGAAAGTTAATGGCTCTTCCTAAAAACAGCTGACACTGTACTAGGTATTTTATATATATTATGTCACTTATATCTTCCAAAAGCCCAGCTGAAGTGAATATCAATATCTCCATTTTACAGATGGAGAAATGGAGGCTTGGAAAGCCTAAGTTATGAGCTTAGTATCATACGGCAGTAAAGTGGTAGAGCCAGGTTTTGAAATTAAGGCTATCTGAATATAATAACAAACATTCTGATAAGTATTATAGTCCTCAAGATAATAAAAACTTGTCCTGAGCAGGCCATTTTGGTAAAATTCAATATAGACATCAGAGCACCCTAAGAATCCCTCTTAGGGATACTGCAGAGAGAGAAAGAAAC